TTAGCACACGGAATAAAATGGGCCATCTTCGAGAAGCGATCGACAACTACGAAGATGGAATCCTTGTGATGGATTTTCGGTAGTCCTAACACGAAATCCATGGAGATGTCGACCCATGGATGCATCGGAATCGGCAGTGGTATGTATAAGCCGTGGGGGTGGACTCGGGATTTGGCTTGGTGGCACTCAACGCACTTGGCACAGAACTTTTGTACGTCCTTTTTCAAATGTGGCCAAAAGAAGTGTTCCTGGACCATAGCCAAAGTCTTGTCAATCCCGAAATGCCCGGCTAAGGCTCCGCCATGAGCCTCGCGGAGGATAACCTCTCGAAGGGAACCTCGTGGAATACATAGCCGCTTATCACGAAACAGGTAGCCCTCATGGACGTAAAATGGTCCGTGATGTCCATGTGCACACTCGCTCACGATTGGTCCAAAATCCGGGTCGTCCTTGTAAAGCTCTTTCGTGTGCTCAAAGCCGAACGCACGAGCTTCCATGACCGATATGAGAGTGTGACGTCGAGACAAAGCGTCAGCTACGACATTCTCCTTTCCCTTCTTGTACTTGATGATGTACGGAAAGGTCTCAATGAACTCCAACCACTTAGCGTGCCGACGCTTGAGAGTGGTTTGCCCCTTGAGGTGTTTTAGGGTCTCGTGGTTGGAGTGTACGACAAACTCCTTAGCGAGCAGATAATGATGCCAAGTCTCAAGGGCTCGTACTAAGGCATAAAGCTCTTTGTCGTATGTTGGGTAGTTTAGGGCAGCCCCGTTAAGTTTCTCACTAAAGAATGCCACAGGTCTCTTTTCTTGAATAAGTACGGCTCCTATGCCAATGCCGGAGGCATCGCATTCAATCTCAAAGGTCTTTTCGAAGTTCGGAAGAACTAAGACGGGGGCTTTTGTGAGACTGTCCTTGAGAGCATCAAAGGCGTGCTCCTGCGCCTCACCCCAAGAGAAAGCGACGTCCTTCTTGGTGATGGCCGTAAGCGGAGCAGCAATGCTGCTAAAATCCCGCACAAATCTCCGGTAAAAACTGGCTAACCCGAGAAAACTTCGGACATGTCCAATGGTAGTAGGAGTGGGCCATTCGCGTATCGCCTTAATCTTCTCCTCATCCACTCGCAGTCCCTTAGAGCTGACCACGAAACCGAGGAAGACTAGTTCGTTTGTCCAAAACAAACATTTCTTAAGATTGGCATAAAGGCTTTCGGTCCTCAGGGTGCTCAAGACCTGTTCTAAGTGTGAGGCGTGGTCGTCCTCGCTTTGGCTAAAAATCAAGATGTCATCGAAGTAGACCACAACAAATTTCCCTATGAAAGCTCGTAGAACGTGGTTCATGAGCCGCATAAATGTGCTCGGGGCGTTGGTCAAGCCGAAAGGCATGACTAGCCACTCGTATAGGGCTTGTTTGGTCTTGAAGGCGGTTTTCCATTCATCGCCCTCTTTCATGCGTACTTGATGATAACCACTCTTTAGGTCGATCTTTGAAAAGATCGTGGCTCCGCTTAGCTCATCAAGCATATCGTCTAGCCTAGGGATAGGATGCCGATATTTAACCGTAATGTTATTTATCGCGCGGCAATCCACACACATCCGCCAAGTCCCGTCTTTCTTTGGTACCAAGAGTACCGGAACAGCACATGGGCTTAGACTCTCACGGATGTAGCCCTTGTCCATGAGCTCACTGACTTGTCTCTCGAGCTCCTTGGTCTCCTCGGGGTTCATCCGGTAGGCAGGACGGTTAGGCAAAGGAGCACCGGGGACCAAATCGATTTGGTGCTCAATCCCGCGTATTGGAGGTAAACCGGACGGAATTTCCTCTGGAAATACGTCCTTGAATTGGTCAAGGAGCGGCCTAAGAGCTGGATGCTCGGGGAGGTAGTCCGATCGTAGGTCTAGATTATCCTTAAAGACCAAGAGAATCACCGCAAGTTCTTGTCGAATAGCCCGATCTACTTGACTAGCCTTAAGATAGAAGTTTCCTTTCTTCGGTTCTTTTTCCTGGGCTAGTTTTAGTTGCATTTCATGTACTTGCAACGGGCTAAGGGGTGCGAGCACAACCTTTTTCTTGTTATGGACGAAGGAGTATTGGTTCGCTCGACCGTCATGTGTTACTTCTCGATCAAATTGCCATGGTCTGCCGAGAAGCATGTGTCCTGCCTGCATGGGAACTATATCACACAAGACTTCGTCTTGGTATCGCCCAATACTAAAGGGAACTCGCACTCGCTCGGTCACCTTTAGCTCCCCTTGGTTATTCAACCATTGCAGTTTGTAGGGGTGTGGATGTTTCTCGGGAGTCAGTCCGAGCTTCTTGACCATGTAGGCGCTCGCCACATTGGTACAAGATCCGCTATCTATGATCAGTCCACATACTTTACCGCGAACGGTACATCGCGTATGAAAGATAGTCTCTCTTTGAGCTGTCTCTTCTGAATCTACCATGGCGCTAAGGACACGACGTGTCACGAGTAGCTCGCCACTATCCGGATACTCAACTTGTTCCTCAAGTTCTCCTGCCTCCTCTTCTGCCATGGATTCATATTCACCATTATCCATGAGGATCATGACTCGGGAGTTTGGGCAGTTACGGGCCATGTGTCCACGACCCCGACACTTATAACACACGAGCTCGCGCGCACGGGTGTCCTTAGAAGGGTCAACTACGGCTTTCGGGTTTTGGACAATGTCGATAGCCTTGCCTTTATCTCGGATGTCCCGGTTGGCCTTAGACTCGGAATAGTCGCGTCTTAGAGGGGCCGAAGGCTTCGGCCCGGACGGCAGGCTCGAGAAAGCCTTAGTTCGACTAATCCTCGATTGTTTCTTTTGCTCGTGCGTTTCCACTTGCACGGCCAGGTGGAGCAATTCTGGGAGATCACGATAAGGATGGCGTTCGACTTTACGAGCGATTCGCTCTTGCAGTCCATCTAAAAATTGTGCCATTATCGTTTCCTCATCCTCATCAAGCTCGAGTCGGCTCCTAAGGTGTTCAAATTCCTCAAAATACTCTTCCACCGTTCGGGTTCCCTGCGATAAGCGACGGTACTTTCGTTGAAGGTCTCGGTGGTAGTGAGGCGGGACATATCGTTTACGCATAAGATTCTTCATCTCACGCCATGTTCCTATAGGCGCATAGTGTCCACGCCGCCTCTCAAGTCCCTCGCGATCCCACCATGAGAGCGCGTTTTCTGCAAGTTGCGCTGCTGCGTATTGGACCTTCTTACGTTCGGAATATTCGTAGCATTCAAAGATATTATCCATTCTACGTTCCCAGTCCACATATGCCTCGGGATCTACCTTTCCTAGGAAGAGAGGGGGTTTAAGTTTCAGGTCGTTACTAGGGCCTCTAGTTGGTCGATGTCGTAGTCCTTCTTCTTCCTCGACATCGTCTGCCCACCTACGAGGTCTATCTCTCGGTCTAGGATTCATTCTCCGTCTAGGTATCTCCTCATGGTCTGACTCATCGTCATCGACCCTAACTCTAGCTCTATGACCCCTCGCTAGCGGTCTCTCGTCATAGTCCGACTCCTCGTCATATATGACTCTCTCACGGGTTCTAGGTCGGTCGTTAAGTCTTTGTCTATGGTTTCCCGTACGCTCGGGGTGTCTCTCAGCTTCCCTATCTCGGGCTCGGACCCTAGGAGCGATGTCACTCCCATCATCACTAAGAGTTTCGGATAAGGGCAGTGGCCGAGGTCTAGATGGATCTACCGGGGCTCGGTTCCTAGGTTCCGTTTCTCTAATGGTTTGGGTTTCCGGTCTAGACCCTTCTAACTTAGAAATACGCTCCATCATTTGTTGTAGGGCTCGGAAAATCTCTTGGTTGCTAGATGATCCTATCTCCAATCCCTCATTGGAGGCATCGTGAGCACTCATGTTTATAATTCGCTCAAATCTCGCAATATGCACGTAATGTACTATACACTCAAACGAATCCCAATCAACGTGCACGAGCGTAAGTGATAGACGTGGATATCAAAGAGCAATCACTCAACGTGCAATGGCTAACAACAACAGTGAGTGAATACGGAAGTAAGAAAACACACGTGCAAAGCGATTCACACACAACGTGCTTAGCAATGAACGTGCGAAGCTATTGATCAGCTAATGGAAAGCAAATATCACTAGCAACCCACAACGTACGAACGACTCAAGCACTTTAAAGTGATTAGCGATTTCTTTCAATCAATCGTGCAATCGAGACGAAGCTATGAACGTGCAAACACGCAACGCACACACGTAATAGGACAGATTCGATTTTACAAAGAAACAACACAAGTAAGGGAACGAGTTCACCGTGGTTGGCGTGGCTTCGAACGACGATCGATTCCGTTGGGTCGAGCAAAGCTCTGATACCAAAATGATGTGAGCTCCGGGCTGAACAACGGAGATCACGAAGAGGATGGAGATCGGAGCCGATTCACACGCAAGCAGCTGCACTCGAAGTCGGATCCGGATCACTTAGAGGGAGGATGGGAACGAGATGGAGCTTCGGATCAGTCACGGGCCGGATGGCACTCGACGTAATCCTGGAGCAGATGAGGGGTGGATAGATTCGAAGGCTAGGAGGCGTCGGACACACCGGACGCTATTCCGCGGACACACCGGCGGCAACTCTTGGACACACCAAGAGTGAAAGAGTCTCGGACTCACCAAGACAAGAAATCTCGACACTAAGGTGGAGAAGGAGACAAGAGTCTGCTGAAAATTCTGATTAACCAACTTGAAAAAATGTTTACAAGGGATAATATGAGTTTAAGTAGAAAGAGAAGACAACAAAGCAATAAAAGCTAAACAACATGCAACCCTTGTGCATTAATGGTGATTAGGTGGTAGAAAAGAGCTGTTGAGAGTTGCTTGCATCTCAAGAAGCTTCCTTTTGTAGTGACTTGTACTTCAAGGAGCTTCGGGATTAACCACGAGCAAGTTGCATGTGGCTCGGGTTACTTCGGGAGAGGAGAACGCTGCATTCTCTTCACTTGATAGTGTCAATGCTTGATGGAAGTAGGCATTGAGCTTTCCTTGGAGTGCTCGTGTCTTGGCCCGGGTGATCGGAGGTTCGGCACGCACTTGAGCTGTCGAAGAATGTGACTTCGGCTTAACATGTGTAACGGTTTCGGCCGAAGGAACAGCGGGTGGCGAAAGTGAACGTGTGAGCTCCGGCCCGTACGAACACTCCGTCTCATCGTCCATGCTATCATTCGTGGCTGTCTCCATATCTCCGATCCTAGCAGCTTCCTCGCTTCCTTCCTTAGCAGCTTCCTTGCTTCCTTCCTTAGCATCTTCCGTGCGCTCCAAGCTACCGATGTCCTCATCAGTGACACTGGCAAAAGGGTTGGCATTAGAGTTGATTTGAATGAGGAACCACCTATTTTGGGGTCATCGTCTGTCGGTATTGGTAGTGGGTATAAACTCAGAGATGATGTTGAAGATTGTGTCAACGATCAAGGGACTTTTGAGGTTGATGATTGGGATGTGGACACTCCGGTTGTTGATGTTGATGTTGATGATTGGGATGTGGAGACTCGGATGGAAACTCCTCAACCGCGTGCAAAACGCGTTTTATTTTGTGATCAAGACGCTGAGGTTGATTTCGACCTTGAAATGACAACTCCTCGACCGGATAAAAAACACATTCTAGTGTGTGAAGGCTCCTCGAATGTGCACAAGAAAGTTGATCTGTTGAATAACACGTCTCACATATATGAGGGACAATTCTTTGAAGACAAATTGTCTTTCAGGTTGGCTATAGAAAAGATAGCATTGAATAACACATATGGCTATCGCATAGTGAAATCGTCTGGTAATACCATAGTTGCTCAATGTCCAGTGAATAGATGCGGGTGGATGGTTCGAGCTGTGAAAAAGGATGGAGCTGGAGTTTTTTGTGTTCGAAAATACAAGAGTGAACACACATGTTCCATTGATGATAGGAACAAATATGTTCGACGACCGCCTGCCAACTTGGCGAGTCACTTTTTGTATGAAAAGGTGAAGGGATCAGCCCGTGAGTTTAAACCTAAAGATGTTAAGAAAAATATGTTGACCGATTATGGTTTTGACATGACCTATTGGCAAGCATGGAAAGCGAAGGAAAAAGCCATTGATATTGTTAGAGCAAGTCCTGAAAATAGTTTCAATTTTCTACCGGCTTACCTGGAATTGATTCAAGAAGCTAACTCAGGTACCGTTACCAGCTATGTGGTTGATGAAGATTGTAGATTTAAGTATGCCTTTATTGCATTTGGTGCATGTCTGAGAGGGTTCTGTTATATGAGAAAAGTGATTGTAGTTGATGGGACCTTCTTGACCGGGAAGTTCAAAGGAGTTTTGTTGGTCGCAGTGTGCCAGGACGGAAACAATCATATTTACCCAATTGCATTTGGAGTTGTGGATTCAGAGAACGTTGACTCTTGGGAATGGTTCCTCATGCAATTGCGTTCGAGCATTGAAGACAATGAGAATTTGGTCTTCATATCCGATAGGCATGCATCAATATTAAGGACTATAGCAAAGATCTTCCCATTGGCTAAACATGGTATATGTGTGTACCATTTGTTAAAAAATATACGGACCCGGTTCAAAAGTAGAAAGATTGTAGATTTGGTTAGGGAAGCGGCAATGGCGTATACAACAAGTCATTTTGATAGGGTATTCGCTCAAATACATCTGGCAGATGAGAGAGTGGCTAAATATTTGGAGGATGTTGATGTGAAGATGTGGTCTCGTGCTTATTTTAAAGGATTGAGGTACAATATATTGACAAGTAATATCGCAGAATCGATGAATTCCGTGACAAGAGACGTTCGCGATTATCCGATTGTACCTCTACTAGATCACATAAGATCTATCCTCACAAAGTGGTTTTGTGAGCGACGTACTCAGGCAAACATATGCACCCAGGATTTTACGCCTGAAACTGTTGTCACAGTAGAGGACCTGTTGGAAAAATCTCGTAAACTGCAAGTCCACAATATATGCCCGGGACAATACCAAGTGAAAGGAGGTCAGCATGAACATGTGGTCAACTTAGATTGTTCGACCTGCACTTGCCGTGCATTCGACATCCTTAAGACCCCATGTGTTCACGCGATCGCCGCAGCTACTCGGTCTCAGCTGTCCATACAGATACTTATTGATCCATTTTACTCGACTAAATTTTGGAGATTAGCCTACGAAGATAGTATTTATCCGATTGGTGTTCCGATGGAAGACTGGCAGGTTAGTGAAGATGTTGCGGACGAGATTTGTGGTAATCCAATAGTAAGACGGCCAATTGGGAGACCGAAGAAAAAAAGAATACCGTCAGCTGCGGAGAAATATTCAAAGAAGACTCAGAGATCCCACCGATGTACCAGATGTGGTAAAACGGGACACAATAGAGCCACTTGCAAAGAAGCCATTTGAATGTTGAAAGAATGTTGTATGTACTGATCGTAAATTAAGTTTTAAAGTAAAAACCCCGTTGTTGTATATATATGAATACAGCAGGACATAATACACTCATGCAGGTCATCTGCAGGTCCTGAGAGGACCTCGAGGTCGTATGAAAGACCTGCATGAAATGATAGTTTAAACTCGTACGTTTTTTTATGTAATTAAGTATTATTATTTTTATTAACTATTTCAAACGAACTGCGCATGGTGCGTCATTTATAAATTGGCACGTCAAACTCTCTGATTTGGCGAATTGATCAATTGCGAGCAACGAAAATGTTAATAAGCACCTCCTATAACAATTTTGATAAGTATATAATAATCGCATCTATCTAAATTTAACACCTTATTTTGTGTAGCAATGCATGTTCCCCCATTTAAGGGTATTTTTGCAATTGCCCCTTAAATGGGCACCATGCTAAGTTCGTTTGTAGTAGTTAATAAATGACTTGCACCATGAGCAATCGTCACAGTGACAATGACCGGACCTACATTCAGTCGTACTGTGTCGTAGTGAAGTGCAATGAGTCGTAATGAATTTTACATCCAAGTCGTAGATTTGTAGATATGGTCATTATACAGTCGTAGTGAAGTCTAATGAGTCGTAATGAGACTTGTCACAACAAATCATCATGAGATTTCCGACCCTCCTGATTCATGAAGACCCTGATGCTTTAGGGTTTTCGTAAACGGTCTCATGATGCTTTTAGGGTTTAAGGTTTGCGTAATAGTCAGAAGGGTCGTTATGGATAATAGTCAGAAGAATTGATTTGATACACTTCTCCTTGATTCTCTTCGATTTCATCTCTATCTCCAAGATCTCATCTTTATCTCTATCTCTTCAAGTCTTTGACTTTATCTCCAAGATCTTGTCTCTATCTCAAATCTCCTCAAAATCTTCTTAGCTTTGATTCTATCTTCATCTCTTCAAGTGAAAACCAAACTTCGTGGCTCTATCTCTTCATATTGCTTTCCCTAAAATCTCTCCAAGTGGTTGACATTGAGTCCATCTCAATCTCTTAGTCTAACTTTTTCTCCAATTCTTCAGACTTACCTCAAAATATCTCGAATTGTATCTCGCCGGATTTCTCTCCTGAAATCTCTTAAGTTTGTTGAACCTGCATTTTCTATCAAACAAAAAAACACATGTGCAAATAATTGCACTAACAGTTTTAATCAATGTAAGATAACAAAAATTACATTTTATCCAAATTTTGAGGTTTAATTTCATTCACTTGTGTTATGGGCACATCGTCTCCTTCATATGCCGATTTGCTCGTTGCCCCATATATGAAGCATTCCTTGGTACATTGAAGAACAAAATCAAGAATTGTGCTTGCCATTCCCAGCCTTAAAGAGGGGATATTTTTCTTCAGAAGTTGGCCTCTTTTAAAATCAATCCCGAAGGCATGACACTCGACAAACTTGAGAGCGTATATCCCGCAATCATTTTCACCGATTTGCCGCGGAGTATCCTGCCTCAGAATTATCTCATATGGATTACGTTCCATGGAAGCAGAGGATGTTGACAAATAATAATACATGAAAGGAACGACCACCGCAAACGGCTTGACACTTTCCCGTCTCATCTGAAGTCCCTCTGGGGTTTTTGGAAACAACGAGTCTAGAACCTCATTCAGTCGGTCTTTCCTCTTCACAACCAGTGTAATCCAATGATTATTGTTGACCAACAGAACAGTGTAAAATGTGTCCACATCACTCAAGCTCCGACCCTCCCCGTATGCCCGCGGGTATACGCCTTTGAAGTAGGGATTCAGTTGATTGTGTAGCCGACTGCTAGTAAGATCCCTCTTGCAGAAATCTCTATATATATTGTTCACGAGCATATTGAAAAGGTTGTCCATAAAGGCAATTCTACTGTTAGGGAAGAGCTCAGGTTGGCTCTTCAACATCTTCCTATACATTGCCAAGAAGCAGTCCATATGCTGGAGTGGATAAAGAAACATGTCAACACGAATGATACAATGTAAAACACTACGTCAACAAGAATTTAAATTTAAAATACTTACATCAGTCGACAACTGAGACTCTTTCGTCATGATATCTTCAATAAAATCGGGGAATCTGACATTAAAAGTAGTGAAGCTGAAATCCTGATGGCTGAAAAGGAGAAAAATCATTTTTTAGTATATGAATTTAACAAGCAAACTGCACGACCCTGCAGGTCATGCATGTCGTCACGCACGACCTGTTTGTTTAAAACCATGACCTGCAGGATATGGATCATGATTTAATATTAATTTTAAATAAGGTCGTGAATAACGTACCGTGTTTTACACCTGTGAAGGTTTTTGAGGTCTTCATCGCTTGGCTTTCGAAATGGATCATGATTAATCATCTTTGGTGGCAAAATTTTTCCAACGGTTGGGCTGATATAATATGGACTTCCGATCTTCCTGTTAAGCACCTGTCGTCACGCACGACCTGTTTGTTTAAAACCATGACCTGCAGGATATGGATCATGATTTAATATTAATTTTAAATAAGGTCGTGAATAACGTACCGTGTTTTACACCTATGAAGGTTTTTGAGGTCTTCATCGCTTGCCTTTCGAAATGGATCATGATTAATCATCTTTGGTGGCAAAATTTTTCCAACGATTGGGCTGATATAATATGGACTTCCGATTCTCCTTCTCCTCCAGCAAGATCTGCAGACTGTCGTCTGAAGAAGAACTATATGTTGCACGTCTCCTTTTTCTTGAATCTCGCCGTCGCTTGTGTCCCGCCAACTGATTCTCCTTCTCCTCCCACGTCTTCTTTTCCTCGACTTCCTCCTCATCGTCGTCCAGGAGCTGCAGGACCTGCTTTTCCTTCGCTTCCTCCTCCTCCTTCTCCTGATTCTCTTTCTCCTCCAGCAAGATCTGAAACTGTCGTCTGAAGAAGAACTATATGTTGCACGTCGCCTTTTTCTTGAATCCCGCCGTCGCTTCTGTCCCGCCAACTGATTCTCCTTCTCCTCCCACGTCTTCTTTTCCTCGACTTCCTCCTCATCGTCGTCCAGGAGCTGCATGACCTGTTTTTCCTTCGCTTCCTCCTCCTCCTTCTCCTGATTCTCCTTCTCCTCCAGCATGATCTGCAGACTGTCGTCTAAAGAAGAACTATATGTTGCACGTCGCCTTTTTCTTGAATCCTTATCAAATTGTGTTGCCAGAATCTTCATATGACTTTCAACAGACATAAACCTGTTGTCCACTGATAGGAGCATGTTATATAATTTGTTATTTGAAGTTAACAAATTTTCAAGCAAGGACATAACAGTCCTTCGCTCCTCCCCTTCTTTTCTCCTCTTTTCCTCTTTTCTCTTCTTCCTTTGCTCCTCTTCTCTCTTCTTATTTTCCTCCTTTTTTCTCTTCTCATCGTCTTTTTCCTTGTCCTCCTCTTCGTTCCTCTTTTTCTTCTCTTCCTCTTCATTCTCAGCTTTATCAATAGGCGAGAAACGCAATCTCCTAATCGCCCCCTCCACCAGTTTTTGTGGTATTACTATGCTTATAGGTCGCGCAAGAACAAGCGCAAATCCAGTTGCGTAGAAACACCCCAATCCTCGTTACAAAACCTATAACCTTGATCGATAAGCCTCAAAATATTCTCGACGGTAGGATCGTCGACTTCATCACAGTACTTGTCGACGACTTTTTCCACTTCTTAATGGAAGGCTCCAATTGACCCGGCAATCAAACTGAAAGGTACGACGGATGCTGTTTTCGTGACACGGCCTGCTTTTCTCTTAGATTTCCAACAGGAACCTTTCGGTCAGGCAACGAACGGCAGGTCTGTAGATCTTTCTCCATGGGTCGCAGGTCTCTGCAGGTGGCATGTAGGTGGGCAGGGTCATTGTGTAGAGCCGAGGGACCTACCCACCTGCATTCCACCTGCAGAGACCTGCGACCCATGGGGAAGGATCTACTGACTTGCCGTCCGTGGCGTGACCGAAGGTTTCTTGTTGGAAATCTTAGAGAAAAGCGTCATGGGAGGGTCATTTTATAGGAACAACGGAAACAAAAGATGAAAGGTACGACGGATGCCGCTTTCGCGAC